CGGCTAATGTCAGCGGTATGCTGACGCCGGAAAGACTCTGGAGGAATCGACTGGATTTGCGACGCTTTTCCGTCGCAAATTATGCAAATTAGGTCAATTTTGTTTTTGCCGCTTTAGAGCATCAAAATGATAAAAAAGAAGGAGGTTTAGCACACAACATATTCAAGAAAAGGTATTTACACCTTTTTAAAAACAAAAATGTGTGAAAACATGTGTGGTTATGCGATAAAAGTATGATATTTTTGATCAGGCGAGCGCGCGCTGGCGACTTGAAAATCCGATTTGAAAACAATGCGCGCTCGCGTGATTTTCAACCAATCACGAATCGACACTGTGCAAAAAGGCCGGTATTCAATAGTTTTCAGGACCAGAATATTCCCGTGGTACAACGCGTATTCGGAGGTATTCAAGTCGCAGGATGATACTTGACGTATCCCTAGGGTATTCATATTGAATACTATTGCATACGTCACGTATCGAGTATCGCTGGCGTATTCTTACCAGAGTACGTCAAGTATGATTTGTCAAGAGTATTCAAATCCGGCATACTAGACGTATATCAATAGTTTTCCTGACCGAATACTCTTGAAAAACGTAACGAATGGGAATCACTGAGGTATACGTACCATAATACTTCTGACTCAAGTACCCTAGAATTTTCAATAAATCGCAATAACTAGCTTAATTAAAAACACCGCATGTGAAATACTATAGTGTCCTATAGAGAATAATAAGCCAACAAAATATATTACATATATTACTATTTTGTCCCGATTGTCGAGTACCATTATGAACAAGGCTGGTTATGATTAACGATATTATGAATAAATCTATATCATAATTCTTTCTATTTCTCTACCGTACTGCACTATGTGGGGCGGGGGACAGGGAGCCCGACACTAAGAACGGCTGCGAGAAGACTACTCTTTCTCACACCCGTACAGTTTGAAACAATATGCATAATCTCACATGAAGTTCGCTTATTTTTATTTATCTATTTCGAATTAACTTTTATTTAGCTTATTACTTTTCTTTTATATAAAAAAAAAACACGTTTCCTCCTGGAGACTGGGGCGAGGATATCCATGATCCCTTGCGATGTTCTAATTGTCTCGTTCGAACGCCATTTCTAACGGTCATGTTTGAGGCGCTGAGGCGAGTCTACAGATTTTTCGTCTTTCATGGCAGTTCTCGTGGATTTTATTCGTTTACAAACAACATCTTTCAACTAGTAAGCTATCCGAATGGCTGTAGTGTCTTTAGGCATGATATTTAACCGTGGGTGGCCGTCAACTGGTGAGATTCGTTGGCAATTTACATGTAAGGTACGTCGGTCTGTTTTGTCGCTCAGTTTAATACCGTGAACAGTACTTTTTATGCATTATTGTTGAGTTATATCATTAGTCATCGACGATGTTAAACATAATAAGACTGTGTAACAAGATCTTTCTTGCTCACAGACACCAAATCAAAGTCTAGCTTGAAACGAATAAATATGGATACATGTAGTGTACAAAAAGCTCAATCCAGTCGCTCAATCAGCTGAAACTAATGTAGGTGATTATAAAGCTTGTAAACTGTAGTTCTCATATGTATCCTTTGGAATCTGTTGACTTTGGCTAAACACAGCTTATCTTTGGCTTATGATACTATAATATTTATGTTAAAAAGCAGTGTGATTTATCAAGAAGTCCTGCTTTTTGAATAATTTTAAAACTGCATCTTTGATTGTATTCATTTTCGTTAATAGAATATATTCATGATTTCCTAGCCAGAGATCAACWTCCTAAACATAAATATGAGAAATACAATTTGCAATTTATTGTACTATGTGGCTGTTATACATGCACTATATCTAATGATTATTTCATTTACTAATCATATTTGTTTGTTGTTTGTTTGTTTTGTTCATTCATGGGATAAAGCGCCCAGGCCATCCCCTCCTCAAGATCACGCGAAGAGTGTTTTTTTTTTAATAGACCCATGATATGCTGAGTTGTTATTTTTGTTGCAGTCTTTCTTGTTGCACAGTTGGCTCCATCGCCGAAACTAAAGCCCAGATCTTTCAATCGGCTTAGCGACCACCAAGTTTTCCTTTCTTCCTCATCACTCAACACCTCTCTCATATTTAAGTAAGCATATTGTTGTTGTTGTTTTTTTTATAAGCATTGTAACCTTTGAAAATGTTTCCAGATTACAGGAGATTTTTGGCATGATGCTAATAATAATTCTTAACAGACATCAACTGGCTATGTGAATTGCAGTGTGCAAATTTATGTTTTGAAATTTTAAAGAAAAGGTTCACAAGCTTGAGGCTACACAGGTCTAGTCATTTATAACACAGCCCAATTCTGTTGTGTATCAGTTTGATCAATCAGTCTTTACAGCTAGTTTTAGAGCAAACGCATGGAAACCGTGAAATAAAACGAAACTAAATAATAACAAATAGCTGCTATTTAGAGACAAATTGTCAGTGTCAATGAACCAGAATGCAATCAAGTTGAATAGCTGATTTACAAATTTTGCTTCAGTAGTCAAACACAAAAGAATCAAGACGAGGCACTGTGCGTAAATCTCAGTCAGTTGCGAAAACTATTGTCTTTTCACAAATGACTGAGCTTAATGCATGGCGCCTCGTATTCATTCCTTTGTGTGCGATGTTTGATGCAAAACTTGCAAGTCGGCTATTAAAAATGGTCCCATGTGGATTCCTTTTCATTAAGTTCTGGTTCATTGGAACTGACAAATTGTCTCTAAATACCTGCTATTTGTTAGTATTTTGGTCTGCATTTCCTCTATACTATATCTTTTTTTAAACAAATGTCACATATAACTTTCATTTATGACTCACTGCTCATTGAAGGAGTATATTACAGAGCTTTGATGATAAAACCAATCAAAACTATATATATTACTGTTAATTGATCTGTTGTTACAACCAAGCCTTGAGATGTTGGCCAGGGAAATGCTGGGATTGAAGTCATGTTCACCACTTAACATTACAAGGCAGTGTTGTTGACAATTATGACATTCATTGACTTTTAATATGATTGAATAAAATAGTGCAATTTGATTGGCTTAGAGGAGAGGTATTTATACTTAATAATGGTATCTCACATTGCTCAATTTTGTTCAACCATTATATAAACAAAATTTTTGTACATGGAATTTGGGATAAATACCACTTGTGATATTTCAAAATTGTCACAAATTTTGCTTATCTTGAGAATTTTTGTTTGACAATTTGAAATACCATGCGTGGTATCTATGTATCCCAAATACCACTACAAAACATGCTATTGCCTTTACAAATATTCATATTTTTTCTGAGGATAAATTAAAGACACACTTTCTATCAAATAATATTTTTCAAAATTTGTACGATGTATTATATATTTATGTAATCTTATTTAGTCTTTTTACTAAAATACATTTTTACAAATAGAAGCTATTTCATGTAACAATAGTATATTGATTATTTATCTATAGTTGCCTTGAATTTGTAATTGTATTTTAAATAAATGTTTACATGAATTCCCAAGTCCAAATATCTCTATTTAAGGACAAAATGTCTCATTCAAGAGTATACCAGTCCCGAAAATACTTGAATACGGAATTTTCGAAAGTTTTCATACTGAACACTCTAGAATTCGTCTCGTGATCAATAATATGCGTAACGCATACCACACGTGCACGAATTTTCATGAGTATTCAAGCGTGTTCGTGTTGTCATTTTGCGAACTAATGAAATTTAGTCCAGAAAACGTTGCGTATTAGAGATTTTACAATCGCAAACTTCGCGTTTCCAGAAATATTCAACCGTATTCAATAATAATATTTGTTATCACCCGGAAATATTCGGGGATATACGACTTGAAAACGGAAAAACAGTATGTATTCGAGTCGAGTGATCCCCGGCTGACGTCGCGTCAGTCGKACTTSAATACCTTTGAAAATCATCGAAAACTTGAAGTATTCGGGTTCATATTCGAGCGAATTCGATTCGAAAATTCGCCTTTTTGCACAGTGCGAGAAAAAATTGTTTCCTCCAGAGTCTCTCACGCATTGACATCCGCTGGATGGCAAAAGTGTGGGCTCTGGGTTCGAGATTGTAATGACATCGATTATAAACTGTATATTTACGTGTATCAGCGATATAAATTTTAGCTTTAAAAAACATGATTTTTACTCCCTTCGTAAATTTTAAGTGGCACAAATCATTCCTCGAGACAAATGGCTAGTAGTAGAAGCGAAAGAGGAGCAAGAAGAAGAGCAAATGCTTCTTGACAGATTCAATGCGAAGGTCGGATTCAGTTGAACGAATGATAGGCTTTAGCTCATATAAATGTCTCAAAGATACGATTGATAAAAAACTTTGGAGGTTGAATCCATTGACCTTTGTACCGAGGACGAATCTAGCGTTGAGGAAAGAACATAAAATCGACGACTCACGGTAAGTGATTGTGGTCAACCATAAAAATGACATCAAATAATTAATGTTAGTAAAGTGAGATTAAAGTAAGCTTATATAAGCTTGTAGTTAACACACTCATCAAATCATACTATTTTTATTAACCAGACAGTGTCCAATGTCCAAAGCTTGAAACTTACATGTAATTGTAATTGTAATGTATCTTTAGTTAAGTGGTGACATACCTGGTGCATGTTGGAGGAACATTTGTGTTTGCTTATGTTTGTCTTTGTATGTATATGTGCAAATGGCTTTTTTTCTCATGCTCAAGTATGCTATTCATTGGTTCATATGTGTATTTTGCTTCTAGCTCATTGCATCTCTTGCTGTTTTAACCTGCATGGTTGTTTTATTTCACATAATCCATTTAATAGTAAACAAAAGTTTTGTTTTGTTGCCATATGCACACTTAATTTTAATTTAACATTAAAATGTTTGTAATTGTAATAGAAAAATATTACCACAATTCTGTGGCAATCCTTTAACAGATCCCCTCTCCATATTTGTGTTTACAATGTGTTTGGTTTGGTTTGACCTGTATGGTCCTTTCTAGACTCCTTATGTTCATGAAATTGAAATGTAAAGCTGCTAATATTGTCATGTTATAAATAACACAAACACAGTGTATGATTTTAGTCTTATATTTCTATTTATTTGTTTATAGGAAACGCATGAAAAAAAGGCAACATAAGATAACATCAGCTGTTACAAGAAATACTTAAATTATTTACATCTAGCAAACAGATAAATTATATAATCTGGCATATTATAGTGCAGCCATTTCACTTAGTACCCCTCAAATGAAATAAAAGAATATATTTGGCCGGTGACAAATTTATAATGAACTGATCAAAATAAGCAGCCTATCTATTGGATTAAATTTCATGATATAAGCTGGTAAAAATCATAAGATGAAGAATCTAAAGAATCAAGATTATATTGAAATTATTGAGAACAGTTGCTCTGTTTATTGATTTTTATTCGATTATAGTTATTATTATAAGAAAAGTATGCAAATAATGGGGTCAGCTAATTCCTCATATGATTATAAGAAAAGTATAAATGTCATGTGTATAACTAGACGCATAGCTGCGTGAACTCGGGGTTCTGCTTGAATATATCATAAAACGATGAAGTGACAACAATGAGTGTTGTAGTCGAAGAATTGAGAAGAATTGGACTATATTGAACCTTAATAAAGTTAATAGTCATACTATCAAAAGGCGTAAAGCAAAGAATACTTCCTGGAATAAAAAATAATAAAAAAACAGTGTACTCAGCATAAATATCATGAAAAAATTGATCATCAGCAAGCCGGTCTTTGATAGTCACATGACAGGCTGTAAACACAGAGTCTTTTATCTTCTCCGCTCTTACATTCGTCGGCTTTTCCTCAGAAGAATCTGTTGGCATTCCTTAGACGAGACCTTAGTAGTTTCAGAGCCTGCATAAGTTCGTATACAGTTCGCTTGTGCTAAGATAGGTAGCTTGTTTGATAGACAATTCTCGATAGACTCGATCTCGATAGACAATAAGATAAATTCTCGATAAATTTACGTTATCTTCTGAAATTCATTTTTCGGAAAAACGCTGGTCATATTTTAGTGTGGCTATGCCACGAAAGTGTGGATATTTTTAAGTGATTTGAGCTTATTTGTAGACGTTGAATTTCTGTCTTCTTCCACCTCGCGTATTACAGTCTCGCCGACTATTCTCGTCGGTTTGCACATGAAGTCATCAGTCGAAAAAAATTCTAAAATCACAGACACACAACATTAAAGTACTACCTTGAAGAACATAATAGAAGTTCTCTCTGAAAGTTTCAACTATTTTTGCTGTTTATTCGTTGAGTTATTAACGTTGAAAAATATGTCACGCAATACTGTCAAGCTACTTGAAACACGCCAAATTAACCTCGGAAAGCCTATAAATCTTAAAACAACTATAGTCTCAGCATTAAATTAAATTTTTAGAATGATATTGTTAGAAAACTGAAGCAAAATCATTACTTTTGAGCTTATTTCGACACTCAGAGTTACTGTCCGCGTGGTTGTGTACTGGAGGTCACTGGATAGTGCCCCATACATTCCCTTGTAAAGTAAGACCATATTCAAACGCTTATATTTTTGCTAAAAAATCGCAGTTTGACTTCAAACTTTGCATAATTGTTGGGAATTATATGCTGTTTTTGGCCATGAACATGAAAAATTCATTTAGATCTTAAAACACAGCCTTTTGTAGTTATTTCTTGACCTGTCTAAAACGCATTGAGCCGTGATAATCCCATACATTCTTA